CCATACTTAGTTATCTTTCTAGATGTCTCCTTCCAGGAACTCTACAGAATGCCCATATGTTACCTTGTCAAAAATGGCATTGCTGTTACCCACAGAGAGTAGACAAACAGTAAGGGGAGTGTTCAGGAAGCCTGATGCTGAATAAGACCTTGTTCAAGCACCCCAGGTCTCTTCTAATCTGTGCTGTCACTAAATCTAATGTAAAGTGCAGCTCAGTTAAATTACTTAACAAATGAAACGTGCAGATCTCTGAGGGAATTATGTATTTTTCTTGACTCGTACATTTGTTTATATTTCCCCAAATAACTGAGCAATATCATATATCTTTCACACAGTGATATATTTTCCAGTTATGGCAAATCCAGGCAAGATGTAAATACGGAAGGCATTTAGAGAAGGTACAGACACAGAAGGTACACTGTGTTTACCTGCTGGCTAAAGCCTTCTGGGCCCAACCAAGCTTTGCAGTTCATAGGTACCCGGCTGCCTCATATCCTAAGCAAGTCCTGCAGGAGAGGAGGAGCAGAATACCCTGTTGGTCAGTTTTGGGTCACATTCCTGTCTGGTCCTCCCCACAGCACAACCCTGAAAAGCTTTTGGGCCTCCAATCCTCCCGTCTTATTCATAACTTTACCCTTATAAAATTGCAATGGCAAATGCAAAGATGAAAGATGTGTGTGCTTCCCTATCCAAATTTTCAGGAATCCAGTACATCCCTCTAGAGACAATCATATTTGCAAATATATGGTGCATGAGAAGGAGGCATAGAAGTGCTGCTCACACTCTCACCTCTCCCCTCACTTCCTTCCTTCCTGATCTCTCCTTCTCTTGCTTCCCCTCTACCAAAGGTTACACAAAGGCTTGGGTTTGGGATTTTAGCTTCTCTTGACATAGCTTCAACCACGTGGAGCCAAAGAAACAAGGCTGGCTCAAGCAAGCAGAAGGATGTTTTCTTCCCTCTGCGCATAGGGAAGGACTCCTCTGCAACTCCCGGGGCCCCGCTCTTTGGGGCTGCTCTGCTTCTTGGAGTTTCCCCACGTTTGAGAGGCTGGCGTCTAAGAGAGAGTGCCAAGAGTTGCCTCTGACGCAGCTATTTTGTGAAGAACCAAGCAGGGGTGAATGTTGGACTTAGGGTCAAAAGAGAAACATGGAGTTGTGTGGCAACTGCCTCTCTGGACTCTCTTGCCAGGGTGCATCCCCTTTCTCCCTTTCCTGGAACAAGAGAGAGCCTTTCTTCTTGCACCCCAGCATTGGCTGGAGGAAACATGCCCTTCTCAGCCTCGTGGCAGTGGCACAGGGAGAGTGGCCCACCTGCAGAAAGAGGGATGGCAGATGGAAGCGATATGTGAAGGAAGCTTCCTGGGACACGTCCACACATCCTCAGGAGGAAAAAGGAGCTTGGCAAAGCTGACAACCTAAAAGGAGGCTGGAGAGAGGTGGCTCTTCTCCAAAGGGTTATCAAAGATTGGAAAAGGCTGTCCAAGGAAGTGGTGGAATCGCCATCCCTGGACGTATTGAAAAGAAGGATAGATGGTGCAGAGGTTAGGTTGAGGTGGTGCTTTGGGGCAGGGTTTAGTGTTGGCCTTGGCAGTGTGAGGTTGATGGTTGCACTGCATGACCTCCGAGGTCCCTGCCACCCTAGGGGATTCTCTGAGTTGAGGATTCCATACAGCTGCTGGTTAGGCCTGTCAGTCTAACCTCAATACCAGGGAAAGTCATGGAGCAGGTCATCTTGAACGCCATCAAAACCCACATCATGGGCAACCAGGGGATCAGGCCTAGTCAGCATGGGTTTACGGAAGACAGGTCCTGCCAGACGAACCTGATCTCCTTCTATGACAAGATAACCAGATTATTGGACTAGGGAAAGGCTGTTGATACTGTATACCTGGATTTTCGAAAAGCATTCCATACTGTCCCCCATACAAATCTGGTGGAAAAACTGGCTTCACACGGCCTGGACGAGCATACGATCTGCTGGATCAAGCACTGGCTGACTGCGAGGTCCCAAAGAGTGGTGCCCAATGCATTCAAATCCAGCTTGGCGGCTGGTCACAAGTGGTGTGCCTCAGGGCTCAGTGTTAGGACCATTTCTACTTCGCGACTTTATTGACGATCTCGATAAGGACATAGGGTGTATCATCAGCAAGTTCGCAAATGACACCAAGTTAAGCAGGGGTGTTGATTCCCAGGAGAATAGTGAAGCTCTACAGAGAGACCTAGAGAGATTGGATCACTGGGCCAAGATCAATGGCATGAGTTTCAACAAAGGCAAGTGCCAGGTTCTGCACTTGGGCCACAACAACCCCATGCAGCACTAAAGGCTCGGGGAAGTGTGGCTGGAGCTGCCTGGAGGAAAGAGACCTGGGGGTTCTAATTGACAAGCGGCTGAATATGAGCCGGCAGTGTGCCCAGGTGGCCAAGAAAGCCAACGGCATCCTGGCTTGTACTAGAAATACCGTGACCAGCAGAAGTAGGGAGGTGATTGTGCCCCTGTACTCGGCACTGGTGAGGCCACACCTGGAGTATTGTGTCCAGTTCTGGGCACCTCAATACGAGAGAGATATCGAGGTGCTGGAGCGAGTGCAGAGGAGGGCAACGAAACTAGTGAAGGGCCTAGAAGACAAATCATATGAAGAGCGGCTGAAGGAGCTGGGACTGTTTAGTATGAGGAAGAGGAGGCTGAGGGGAGACCTCATCACTCTCTACAACTACTTGAAAGGACACTGTAGAGAGGTTGG